CTCACTTGGTAGCCCAGGCTGGCCTCGAACTCACAGAGATCCGCCTGGCTCTGCCTCCCGAGTGCTGGGATTAAAGGCGTGCGCCACCACCGCCCGGCCTTGTTTTGTTTTTTAAGACAAGGTCTTATGTTAGTTGTCCCAGCTGCCCATTTATCATTTTTAAAAAGGTCGATTTATGACTAAAGAAAATGTCTTCCAAAACAGCCCCATACATATCCACAATAAATACAACGAAAGAAACTGAAGCTATACTCCCTTAGAAAAGATAATACAGCACACCCGACCAGGGGCCATCTGGCCATGTGATAGGAGGCCAAAGGATGCATGCTCACTGCCTAACAGGAAATTAATGGGCCCTGATTCCACAGGAAAGCAAAAATGATTGGTTAGCAAGAGGGAGCGAGTCCTAGAAAGCAGGCACATGAATCATTTACGTCTTCATTCAAGAGGGAGCAGCCAGGTGTGGGCGAGGCGATGCACACTTCTGATCCCAGCACTTGGGAGGCAGACTCAGGAGGGTCTCTGAGTTCCAGGCCAGCCTGGTCTACACAGCAAGTTCCAGGCCAGCCAGAGCTACAAATTGGGATCCTGTCTCAAAAAAGAACAGAGGCATTCTCCATTTCCAAGGCAACAGAGCTGGTGGCAGACAAAAGCCACACTGCCTTCTGCAGAACACAGGCAGCTTGAGGGAGAAGAGAGGAGGAAGAAAAAGAAGGGGGCGGTACAAAGACAGGAGAAAGAGCAAGCGGCGTCCTTCCCACGCTGCCCAACCCTCATGGTCTAGGAGCAACTCAGAGATGATGGTTAATTGACAGATTTCCTCATCAAAAGAGAATCCTATAAAACGCGTGATGGCTCGACCTGATTCAACAAGCCATGGCAGGTGACATTTCAAAGACCACACTCATCTTTCAGAGTGATTTTCCACGATTAACCAGTGTCGACGATGACGAGGAGCGCATGCTCACCTTTGTCAAGGAATTCCAGGGAATAGAGCAGCTCCCAGCTCTCCCTGGCCAGCTTGAAGCTCTCCAGCACTTCCATGGAGTTGCTGAGCTCAGCTTTACTGACAACAATGTGCCGGCTTCTCCCTTTTGCTGAGCATTCCTCATCATCTGAACTCTGCTTGGGGGGCGGGAAAAGCACAACTCATTGAAGGTGATAAAGGCCATCCCAGACTGACGCACTCAGTCATTGTCTCCTATGGAAGAACTGTCTCCTATAGCTTTTATATCAAAGATTACATGTGCACAGCTTTTCCTATTTAACATTGATCGCCAATGATCCACATATAGACAGAGAAGTGGCTGCCCCCCCACCCCCCGCAGGGCCCCCTTGCTCTGCACACACCTGTCCGGGGCCACACCCACTCCACCTTCAGCTCTGCTGCTGAGGTGTGATCTGGGATGCCCTCCGTGTTTCCCGGTACAGATTTCTACTACCCCTCACTTCATGTCCTACACAGCCAATGAGAGCTGCAGAGAAAGGCCACTGCTATGTATGTCACTGGGCATTTCTAGAGATGCTGCCCAACAGTCAAGGTCAAAGAGGACACTGACAATCAGTCATTCTGCCCAACTCACTCCTCCGTGTCACTAGCCCCGGTGAAATCGTCCCTCGCTTTCACCACACTGAGGTCACTGTAGTGTGCTCGGAGGTTTCAGTGACGCATTTCACCCCCCCACCCCCCCACTGATGTCACATGCCACTCTGCCTTGGATGCCTCCTTTCTTTAAAATTAAATACATAAAGATTTCACTATTTTTAATTATGTATAAGTGTATAGTTAACGTATATGTGCTAGCGGGTGCAGGTGCTCTCAGTTGACAGAGGTGTTGAGTTCCCCGGGGCTAGAGTTTCAGATGTTCTCCTGATGTGGGTGGTGGGAACTGAACTCGGTCCTCTGGAAGAGCAGCAAGTGCTATTAACCACTGCGCCATCTCTTCAGACCCAGGGCCTCCTTTCTACCAGCCTTCCTCCCTGCCTTCAGACCTCCCGCTGCCTCTTGTACCTGGAGAATCTACCCTACCACACTCGTCCACCTCAGGAGCGACACACACACAATCCGCTGGACATCCTAGTTTATCAGAGTTCTGGGTCATAGCAAGCAGTGATGAACTAATACCTTATTTACTATTGTAAATGGCGAGTTCGTTAGTGTTGCAACCTATGAAAAACAGTTCTGCTTCCAAATTAGGTCAGACATCTATCAAAGAACCTCAATTTTCGGGGAAGACAGTATGGCATTCTAAACAGCTTGCAAAAGTTTGAGAACTCCATCTTGAAACACACATGGACACTGAAGCTCTGAGAGGAGGCTCTGATGGAGCAGTCATAACTGGAGGGAACACACATGTGTGCGCCTAAGAGGAGAGGACCACCAGTCGGTCAGCTCCTAGGCACAGCTCTTCAGTGGGGCTGAGCGGAAACCTCTTCTAAAGCTTGACGGAAGCTTTCCTGTATCTTGTGGGGTGACTAGGCTGCCCTTTCCATCCTGAGGCCAACATCCATCACAGCATCCCACTCCAGCCAACAGTTTCCAGGGGGTTTTGTAAATTTATTCAACACCCATCAGTCAAAACATGGTTAAGGAACTCAAAACAGGGTTCATAGACCTTGATACTCCTGGGCTGCTCGGTTGTTCTGTATGGTGTATGATGTTTGGCCCTGGCCTGGTCTGTACCTACCAGATGGCAATTATTAATCCCTCCTCACAGAACCACAGCTGTGACAATCAAAAATGTCTTCAGACATCATCAAATGAACCAGGGAGAAAGAGGGTGAAAAGCTGCCCCCACTGAAGGCAACTAACTTACACTTTATTATACTGTCATCTTATAAGTTTTACTATTTTAGCTCCAAAATCACATTTTACAAAGATTCATCTCTGGTAAATGACGCATACAATCTGTTAGTAATTAAGTGGAAAGGGTTACCATGGTTTTTTCTCTTCCCTCAGCTAGCTTCCTCTTCTTGTGTATGTGTTTACTGCGATCAATTTCTACATCACCATACACATTGGCTACATCTTCCAGAAGAACTAGTGGAACCTGGCTTGGGGCGTTAGGACCTACACAAAGAAGGACACATGAACATTAAAAATGAAGTAAGAAAAAGAGTGGTGAATATGAGCAGGAGGTAGGTACAGTGTCACATGAAAATAAAGCTCACAAAATACACGCCCAGTGTGACCCTGACTAGGTAAACAAGAGCATATACACAAATGGGGAGAAGGGCCAGATGAAGATCTACTGAATCGTTTATAAAGCCGCCCTTTCAGTGTTGAAAATGAACAACTGTTCCTTTGCATTTGTTCTCATGTATCTGTAAGTGTTTAAACAATGACCATGAGATATAAAATGATCATGAACACTACATGCTTCAAACAAAACCAGAACATATGAAAAACGCTAAGTCAATGCATGTAACACAGAGCTTATTTAAATCTTTGTCTATTGTCCTGTCTTCATAAAATCTACACTTTAGGATTTTTTTCCTTGATTTTGTGTTTTTGGTTTTTTTGAGAGAGGGTCTCATGTATATCCCAGGCCTGGTCTCAAACTTAATACGTAGCCAAGGCTGTTTCTGAACTCCTTATCCTCCCTTCTCGTCCTCCAAAGTGTTGATTTCCTTTTCAGAGGCATTCCGTATCCTTATTTAATTTTGTATGACCACTATAGGTCTTAATACAGCAGTTCCTAGTGAGAAATATTCACATAAAAACTTAACCAATCCAAACCAAATGAAATTATCAATGACAAAGCGCCCTGGTACCACCCTACAACTTTTTAATCCCACAGCAATGGTGAAAGTTGAATATTTTAAAATACTTTTGTCTCCTTCTTATCCGCACTAAACTAATAATCTGAGTTTTATACAAGAGTATGTGAGCTCACCTTGGAAGAGAGACGGCTGTATGCTGCTGATGTACTGGAACGCACTCTTGAAGAAGACCAGCATTGTGGAGTAGAGCACCTGGTTCTTATAGTTGGCGTGAGCTTCGCTGTCGAAGGTGTTCATGTACCTGCTGAGCTCCTTCATTCGGTGCAGTAGGTCGCTACAGCTTCTGAGGGGAGGGGACAAAATTCACCTTACTGCCTGTCAGCAAAAGGATGAAAGAAAAGGTCTGGGAGAAGCATGCACTTACCAGAGGCAGCTACAGGTGTCTGGGTATATAAACTTCTGTGGTTTAAAGTAAAATGAAGCTTTAAAAATCATTTTATGTACATTGGTGTTTGGCCTGCATGTATGTCTGTGTGAAGGTGTCGGATCCCCTGGAGCTGGCATTATAGACAGTTGTGAGCTGCCATGTGGGTGCTGGGAATTGAACCGGGTCCTCTGGAAGATCAGCCAGTACTCTTAACTGCTGGGCTATCTCTCCAGCCCCTTAATAAATTACTTTAACTGTACAAATTCATACAATGCACTGTGATAATCTAATACAGTATATGATCAAATCAAGGTAATTAATATTACTATCTTCTTAAGCATTAAAAAATTATATATATTCACAAACGCCTAGTGTAACATTTTAATATATGTGTACCATATGCAGATCAAATCAGGGTAATTAAGTTTCTTTTTGAGACAGAGTTTACTATTATAGTCCTGGTCTGGAACATACTATGTAGACCAACTTGGCCTCGAACTCACAGAGATCTACCTGTTCTGCCTCCTGAGTGCTAGGACTAAAGGCGAGTGCTACCAGGCCTGGCCCTCGGGTAATTAAGTTTCTGCCTCCATAACATTACTTTGGAAACTTCAAGCTCCTCTATTCAAATTATGTAAGTTAAATGTATAATAAGCTATTATAGGGCTGTGGCTGTGGTTCAGCAGTGGAGAACCCGCCCAGTATAAGCAGAATCTGGGTTCAATCCTCAGCACCACACGCAAGGTAAGCTTTGTGGGTCACCATGCACCTTCTATTCTGTAGAACACCAGAAGTTATTTCTCTGTAACAGTTGTATTTGGATAGTGTTAGCTAATGTTTCACAACTTCCCTCCCCACCACCATTCACAGCCTCATACAATCACCATTCTACATTCCAAATGGCATTATTAATGTCCGTGAGAGGGATCATGATGAATTTGTCTGGGTCTGACTTACTTCACTTACGTCATCTAGGCCCATCCATTTTGCCAAAAATGATGTAATGTGATGTTTTATGGCTGAATAACATTGTAATATATCTATATCACACTCACATTTTCTTTATCCATTCATGGGCATCTAGATTGATTCCCTATCATAGTTACTGCAAACAGTATAATGAACATAAATATACAGATGTCTCTTTGAAATGCTAATTCCCTTTGGAAATGACAGCTGGCTTATAATGTAGAGCTACTGTCGGATTTTGTGGACCCTCCACACTGCTTTGCATAATAGCTGCACTAATTTACATCCCTATCAACAGTTCAGTGTTAGCGTTTTCCACCCCAAGGATTTATTACTTCTCATCTTTTCATCATTGTGTTAGTCACTTAAGTTCTTCTGAGACATGTTTATTCATATTAAGTTATTCGTTAATGTGTGCATGAATGGTAAATTTCCCCTTCTGACCTGGAGCTGAGAACAAAGACACCTAATGACAGAAGCATGCCAAGTCAATTTCTCTTTTCTCTGCGTGAATAAGATAGGGACAAGATCTCAACATGATCTCTTTGTAAATTTATTTCTTTTATTTATTTTTCACTTTTTTTTTTTTTTGAGACAAGGTTTCTCTGTAAAGCCCTGGCTATCCTGAAACTTGCTCTGAAGATGCTGGCCTCAAACTCAAAAGAGTTTGCCTCTGCTTCCCACATGCTGGGATTAAACGTGTGTACCACCACACTTAGCACTGTCTGACTGTTTTTAGTGTGTGTGTGTGTGTGTGTGTGTGTGTGTGTGTGTGTGTGTTATGCACATTTGTGTGTGGCACAGTATATGGGTGGTACTGGAGTCATGTAAGTGCATGTACATGTGAAATCGATGCCGGAAGTCTTTCTTGATCGCTTTCCACATTATTTATTAAGAAAAGAGCTCGTTCTCTCACTGGATCCAGAACAAGCCAATTCAAGCTTGTCTAGATGGCCAGCTTCTCTGCCTCCTGAGTGCTGGGATTACAGGCAGCTGGCACGACTGCCCAGCTTCAGTCCTCTTCCTCAAACTTGTGCAGCAAACCCTTATCCATTGAGGAATCTCCCCAGCTCCACTCAATACCATTTTAGGAGTTTACCCTTCAGTTAGGAATCCTTGGATAAGATGAAGAAGTACCCTCTTTTCTTGCATAAATTGTGACTGTTACAAAATCCTCACCCCCAAAGAAGTGTATCTATACATGATACTGATTTTTTAAAAAATGGTTTTGTTTTCTACAAGGATTCTGAGATGATACAACCAAAGATTTAATAAGCAATTCTGGAAATAAACTATTCATTACCGTCTCCCTTTATCCATCTGCCATTCGCATCTCATTCCAACAACATTCAGAATCTTAAACAACCTCTCCCAAGGGTCTACAATCTGGGATGATTTCTCAGTCAGTCCTTCTATTATGTACTTCTGAGAGCTACGTTTGCTGGGCGACATTAAATCAGATGTATCTTGTGCACCTGAGATGTGAGAAAAAGTAACCTACAATTAATATCACTACTTATTTACATGGTACTTGTCAGAGAAAAAAAATCTGACTCTTCACTCAAAAGACAAAAGTACTGACCCTAAAACATCACAATAGAAAAACAAAAAAGCTCAAAGGAATATGAAAAAAAAAAAAAAACAACAACCCTGCAAGCTACAATTTTTACTACTTAATTATGTAGCACTAGATAGAAGAGACAAGCATCTAAATCCTCACTCACAAGGATATGTACTGACCCTGGCACATCAGTCCCACAGTGCCCTGAAAGGGGCCCCTTAATGATGCCACTGCTTATACAACTGGAGCCTATAAGGTCACGTGGGAACTGCAAAGCTGCTATCACCCAGGAGTAAAGATCTACAGAAAAGATGAAGCTGCAGAAGGACCCCAGGGCAGTTCACAGGGAAGGCCACAGAAGCCTCAGTGACACCCCACAAAGTCTGGAAACAGACACCAACACCCAAAGGTCCTCATTAGAGCAGAGCGTGATGAATGCTTGAGGTAAATCAGGGATTAAAAAAAAATAACCCAGCAAAGCACCAAAAGCACAGTCCTGAGAAGGTAACAGTCCCCCAGGCACCTCAGGCAGGCCCTTCAGGCAGGATCTGGCAATGTTGTGGGGCCTAAAGACTCAGGAGGACAGGACCTGGGGGTGGAGGACAGTTTAGGAGCAGATCACGGCACATTTATGTTGCAAGCCACAATAATATGAAGCAGGACTCCAGCTGACTATGACAAGCTAATACCTGGAAGAAGCCAAGGGCCTTCGTACCCTATGTGTTGCAGAATATTCCTTCACATTGTGAAGGTGTGTCCTTGCCAAGGCACCTTCTGATTGGTTTAATAAAGAGCTCAATGGCCAATAGCTAGGCAGGGAGACATTAGGTAGGACTTTCAGGCAGAGAGAAAAGAGGAGATGAATCTACACAGAGAGGAAACAGGAGGTACAAGATGGAAAAGAGGTAAAAAGCCAGGAGGCAAAATGTAGATTAATATAAATGGGTTAATTTAAGTTACAAAAGCTAGTGCAAGCCTAAACTATAGGCCAAGCTTTAATAATTATTAATAAGTCTCTGTGTTATTTTTGTGTGTGTGAGCTGGCGGCCCAAAGAAAAATATGTCAACATGGCGTCCAACGTGGGGGCTCGAATATCCAAACATAGGGCCTGAGAAATCTAAGAAAAGTTCTGGACAAGGAGCCAAATGTAGCTTCCTAGTCCTGCAGTCTTCTGGCTACAGGCTGCTGCCTGTGGGCTGGAGCCAGCCACAAGCGCCATGCGCTAAGTTGACCCATGCTGCAGCTGACATGGCAGTTTAAGATTTGTCTTGAGTGGTCCAAGAATGCTGCAGGTGCTCAGTAAAGACAGATCCAGGTGGAAAACAAAACAAAACAAAACAAAACTCTAAACAGGTTACAGTGTATTTAAAAAATGTGTGCAGGCTTGGGGAAGAAAAGAAAATGGGTATAGACAGTCACAGAAAAAAAGTTGATAAATAATTAAGCCTTTAAAGAGAAAATAAAATAATATAAAAGGATAAGTCATGTAAAGACAGAAAATACACAGGGAGTTTGGATCCTATATGGTGTCCTGTTGACTTGGAATTTTTGACTGCTGATGAGCGAACAACAGCTTCTGAGAGACATGGGATTGTAAAGAGACTGCTGAATGGAGTTGATCAGGGGAGACCCCTAAAACTCCTGACTACAGACATAAAAAATAAACCTAAAAAAAAAATCCTACAAGACAGGTAACGTATATTTTACCTGCTCAAACATAAAACAAAAAACTCATCTTTGGCCGGCTTGTGTACAACACACAGTCCATACTTGTGTTAATGCAGATATATATGTTGCCTTTGCAAGTGTGTGTGTTTGGAACAAGGGGACCAGACACCAATGAAAAGGGGTGGCCCAGGTGACCCAGTCTCTCAGATGCCTCTGCTGCAGTTCCCTCAGAGTTCTGCATCCAGAACAGCTTCAAGGCAGTTAGCCACGGTGGTCCAGCCTCACAGACTATTCTAGCCAGGACCACAGATAAGCCTTACACTTTCCCATTGCACAGAGACTGGACAACAAATGTTATGGCTAGTTTTCCCAGGACTCGACCATTATCTCACTTTTCTCAGGGTTCCCTAGAGATGTCATCACCTCCACACAACAGGAAGCACCTAGAGAACATGATGCCCACATTCCGAAGAGGTGGGGTGGGTAGTAGTTTGGTGGGTTATGGATGTTGGTCATCATTTAGGGGGGTTGGTTATAAACTGTTACTGGTCATGGTCAGGGAGAAAACTAAACAAAGGATAAAGGAGATTAGATTCAGGGATCTCTTTCTGAAGGGAAAAAGGGGGATACAGTATAGAAATGATGGGATAAAAAGGTAGATTATTGAGTCTACTTTTGAACAACCACTAGTCTCAAATATTTTACAGTGGTATGGATTTTTGTATATTGATACAAATTTAAGTTTATTTTTGTTATACTGTATATATGTTTCTATTCTTGCTTAAGGTATTGTACCTATGCAATTCATTTAAAAAGGCGATGCCTTTAGTTTTAGTCCTTAAAAGCAATTTAGGATAATAAAGAAATACAGGTTAATAGTTAATCATCTATAACAATCAAACTTATAGTCATGTTAGGTATGTTTTCAAGGTCAAACAGAGATATATTTTAAATAGATAGATGATCTTCAAACACTTCAAAGACCTATAGAATGTGGCATTTAAAATGTTTTAATAACCCAAGGCTTTTTCTGACAATGAGACATGTCTGCCCTTGGCAGCACCAATCTACTTCATAAAAGGATGATAGACATTGAAGAAGCTCCGTATAGAGTTTGCCTTCATTTGTGGCAAGGTTAGCCACTAGGCAAAGAAACTGTCCTTGCCTCCACTGCTCACAGAATGCTGTCCAAACTGGACAAGCAGGACACAAAAGAAAGTGACTGGCAAACTTTGCCAAGACAAGGTAAGACAGTCTTTCAAATTCCTACTTCATATAAAAGTCTGTCATATATTTTAGGCCTATAGGCCAAAGATGGATGCCCCAGTGTTATAGAGGAACCTTGGGGTGACTGTCCAGGCAGCCAGATTTCTATTATTTCTTAGTTTTGGAAGCTGTTTGCTCTGCATTTCCTATTTATTCAGGTAACATATCCTTCTCTGGTCTCTGACAGAATTGAAGGTGCAATAGTTACAGTTTTCTTTGTTACCAAATTCAGAAACTTACAAAAGAGATGTAAAATGTAAAATGTTGAGAGACATAAAAGCTTAAGTTGTTTATCTAAGAAAATGTTTTAAGGTCTAAAGTGATATTTCTCCAAATTTTCCAAATACGGACTGGAAATTATAAATGTAATTTTTACTTAAAAATTGTTCTCACTGTATATGGTTTTACTCTGTTAAAGTTATAACCTTCCCTTTTTATTTGGTCAATATCTGATAATTGTTCTTATTGTATACAGTTTTACTGTGTTAAGAGTTAAAACCTTTTCTTTCATTTAGACAAAAAGGGGGAAAATGTGGAATATTCCTTCACACTGTGAAGATGTGTCTCTGCCAAGGTGCCTTCTGACTGGTTTAATAAAGAGCTGAATGGCCAATAGTTAGGCAGGAAGAGGTTAGGTGGGACTTCCAAACAGAAAGAAAAGAAGAGATGAATCTAGGCACTGAAGAGACACCAGAGGAGACGGAGAGGAGCAGGACACGCAGGAGGAGCGGTAATAGCCACAGGGAAGCACACAGGAATAGAACTGGGTTAGGTTATGAGAGCTAGTTAAAAACAAGCCTAAGCTAAGGCTGAGCTTTCATAATTAATAACAAGTCTCTGTGTCATGATCTGGGGGCTGGTGGTCCAAGGAAGTCTGCTATACCTACAGGCACTAGGCTATACCATATAGACTTAATGAGTGGGACACACCATCTAGCTTGGTAGACCTATGATATTCATACAGTAAAACTGCTAACAGCACACGTGTGAGATGACTGTGCTTGCTTTGCTCAGGGATTCATGATTGGTGGCTGGTCAAAGTGGCTCTGAACTATGGAACCTGTGTGTTGTTCAAGGTACCTGTATGATGTTTAGGAACTGGACTATTTCAATCAAGGGGTAGAATTGATTTCAGAAAAATCTCACCTCTTAATTACATACTTTTTTTTTCTTCTTTTTCTAGAGGCATCTTTTGGGAAAACTATCAAACTAGCACACACCCAGAGGGACAATAAATGTAACAAGGGACTTCGGAATGACTTCAGCAAATCCGGTCTGAGCAAGTGTGGGTGCTCCCACTTACCTTGATGCTGGTTTTCCACCTGTGTGGACCGAGTGACATAGTTGATATAAAACTCAGCTGCTTTGTTCAAGTATTTATATAACAAATTGGCAGGCAATCGAACATCATGGTTGTTAATTATTAGAGGAAGGACATCACAAACTGTTGAAAGGAGAAAACAAACTGTTCAGGTGTCTGTACGAGGGTTCTGACAGAAATTTATTCATCTTCCGGTTCACTGAATGTGGCATCTAAAATATACAGGGGGGTCACTCTGGCACAACCCTTTAAACCAGCTATACAATCAGTGGAGGGAGGCAGAGAGGAAACATGCCTGTGGGTCTGACACCATGGCTAGAGACCTGCTGGCCCTGGGAGGAGGCTGGAGTGTCCATGACTATAATTCATATGTATACACAAGCTATACACATTGTAGCAGAGGTATCAAATGTTAAATAACACATAATTAAGAGATTTTTTTGAATTCTTTGTAGGTAAAAGCAAGATTAAATTTCATAATATAAAGAGTTCCTTTGCTTTGTACAAGTGACCTTACCCCTGACATGACAATTCCAGATATTCTATTTACCCCAAAGAAACAATACGAAATGCAGTGTTTCTTACCAAATAGCTTTCGAAAGCAGTTAACTGGAGACTCCTGCTCTTCAATGGTCTCAGCTTCTAGCAGTGCCTCCCCAAGGCCAACCTGTTTAAAAACAAAAACCACTTACTGCGCACAGTGGGAGACGTCGGAACCTCGGGAACAAACAGTGGTCTCTTATTTGTCACACAGATTTCTCAAAGAAACAAACCATTCTACTGTACAGACTAGAAACATCAGAGTGCATCAGCGACGCTGCCCGGAAGATCAAGTTCCCTGACTACCTGTCCACTCGGAACTAGCACAGTTAAAGGGCTGACAAAATGTCTACAGGAACTCCAGCACGGCAGTGGAGGGATGGCACAGCGATGATCACTGTTGAGATTTTAACCACAAGAAGGACAACACTAACTCTCAAGAGTCCCCAGTAGATAAACACACAGTTCGGGAAGCACTGGACAGTGATGTCTGAGTTTGAAGGCCACCTTCCCTCACTGGTGTCCTGGCACAGCAAAAGGTCTCTTAACAAAATCCACCCACACATTTATTTTATTCTCTTCGCAACACTGTAGTCTCGTTAGAACAGCATAAAAGATCACATGACACAAAGTTAAAAGCCACTGCGACAATGAAAGAATGTAAGGTCTGAATTGTGTGCCCCAAATTCATATCCACTGAAGACCTCAGAATGTGTCTGTATACAGGCATGCATGGCTTACAACAGGGGATGCATCTGTTGTAAGTATCACAGAGCATGTATCACAAACCAAGATGGCCATGGTGTCGCTGGACAGTATTCCCGCATGGAACCACTATCATATATATACACAGTCCATTATTGACAAAATCTGTTTTAGGGCTGCATGACTGCACAGCTCACCTTTAAACAAGAGCATTGTCTACACAGATATAATTAGTTAATGAGGTCATTTTAGAGTAGACCAGAGGCCGTGACTGGCATCGTAAAGAATGTCAAGTGAAGACGGAGATGCAGAGGAAAGGACCCTGTGACAACAGAGCTAAGGCCTGGAGTGAAGCAGCTGCAGCAGCTGGGAGCTGACACCCACTGGAAGGGAGGTGTCCTAGAGCATCTAGGGGGGATGCCCACACCTCAGTTTAGAGTTGTAAGAAAACCCCCCACTTCTGGTGCTCTGTAATGACAGACGCAGAAAACTAATGCAAGGAGGTATGGAAAAAGTGAACTAGGCCAGACACCAGAAAGATGGCATGGAAAAGGTAAGCAACAGCCTTTGAATAAAAAGAACCCGTCATTCCAATCATGACTACCCACTGGCTACAGGAAGTTACTAAACAGTTAGAACTCAGTTTCTCTAGGGTACCTGACAGCAACCCACCAACACCCGCCCACAGCACTCACTAGTCCTCACAGATTCAGAGATGGGACAACGGGGTTTGCAGGGCAGAACATTTGAAAAATCTATCTGTTAAGACCATACACTATGACTCTTAGTTTCTTATTTTCGATCTATTTGTTTATGGGGGGAGAAGAATATGCTCAGCACTCAAGTGGAGGTCAGAGGACAAGTTGCTGTCATCCGTTTCCTTCTTCCATCACGTGGAACCTAGGGATGGGATTCAGGTTGTCCGGCTTGGCAGCAAACACGTTTACGCACTGAGCCATCTGGCCAGCCCTCTGACTCGCACTTAAACTCGAACACATTGTCAAAACCACAGTGGAAATAGGCAACTTTCTACTGAACACCACTGCCAAAACTGGGGGGGCTATAGCCTTAGGTTGATAAGATGACAGCTCCTAGAGATGTGTAACCAATGCCAAGGCATCAAATGAAAAGCAATTGCAGTCTTTTCTTAAAGAAAAGGGGAGCGTCAGCCCTACCCCATGTTGCACCACTGTCTCAGGGAAGCGCCTCAGAAGCAACAGCAGCATCTCGGATCGTTCCAACGTGTTGAAGCACTGTTCCGTCACCTTCAGTAACATTTCACACTGGACCCGGCCCGGAAGAGTTTCAAATAAGCCTGGAAACAACATTTCACCTGTAAAGTTGGTTTTTTTTTTCCCCCCACAAAGAAAATGTTGACCTGAAAGTAGCAAGTAAGGTATTTTCCATTCATAAACTGTAAACACTCAGAATTCACCTGCACACTAGCAGACTTCTGAACTCCACAGCATTTGGAGCTGTTTGCTGAATAATCATGAAACATTTGGAGGCCTGATGATCCAGAGGGCAGCGATGACCCGTGTGATTTATCACCACAGAGCTAGCTACACTAAGATAAAGGCATGAGCTTACTTAAGTTGAAATAACCCAAACCATCTGTTTGCTAATTATCTAGAATTATAAGTCTTTGACTGGCTATAGCAACCAACACAGAAGTTTGGAGTTTTTCTCCTATTTGTGAGGATCTGGTTTATCTATAGATGCTTTCCGGTTATTGTAAAATTTGTCCAAAATGCAATCTCCTGATGACAGAATGCCATCCCATGGGGATACTTAAGAGTGTTCTAAGTAAATTCTGAAGGGACCAAGTGACATCACTGTGGACTTTCATTGTCTAGAATAAAACATAATGTGGGAACCACTATGACAGGTATGACTGAGATGTCTGTGACAGTACATTCCAGAAGTGGCCATTTATAAACTATTCAACTGTTACTATACTCACTCCTTAAAAATTGGGTTTGCTTATCCTGTGAATCATTCCTCAGTGCTGATGTTATGATACTGATTTCTCTCCACACCACCGGCTGGTCTGGGAAATTCACAAACCTATTTTTAAAATGAATGCATTAAAGTAAGATGTCAGATCAAAAAAAGAAGAATACTAGCATTTAGAGAAAACCACTTTTCTTTGGGTGAATGTTTATATACATCAGAATAAACCAAAGTAAATACATAAAAATAATCTATTAGTGAAAATATTTCAGAATACTCATAAAAGTCTTTACAACTTTTTATAAATGAGGGGCTGGGGATGTAGCTCAATTGTTTGTAGAGTGCTTGCTTATCATGCACAGAGCCTTGGGTTCCATCCCTGTATCCCATAAACCAGATGTGGTAGTGAATGCTTATAATTTGGGAGGTAGAGGCAGGAGGATCAGAAGTTCAAGGTCATCCTCAGCAATCTGGATGAGAAACAAAAATCTTGAGAAAACAAAGCAAGCTGAGAGGCATCATTCATTTTTTGCATGCACATTGGGACCGGCCACCCAGCTCCTGTGACCGGCCACCCAGCTCCTGTGACCGGCCACCCAGTTCCTGTTGCCAAGCTTTCCCCAACAAGATGGGCTGTATCCTCAAACCCCGAGAAAGAATACACTCTTCCTTTCTAAGTTGCTTTCTATCAGTAAAAGCAATGGAAAAGGTGATATAAATAATACTCTATCTAAAAAACAAACAAACAAACAAACAAACAACAACAAAAACCCAAAGGCAAATCACAGACCACAAATAACCAAGGAGTATAGTTGCAATGATACTCAATATTGTTGGTAATATCAGGGGCACAAACTTAAAAAACAATATAGCAAGATACGATTTTTTCCCATGGCACAGGCCAGGTGTGGTGGTATAGCCTGTTTCCCAGCTACAAAGGAGTCTAAGATAGGAGGAGCATGTGAGTCTTTGGGGTTCAAATCCATCCTGGCCAATAAAGTGAGAATCCTCTGTCTCAAGAGAAAGAAAGAGGAAAAAAAGGAGGAGGCGGGGGGGGGGGGGGGGGGGGGGGGAGGAGGAGGGGGAGGGGGAGAAAAGAAAGGAGACAGAGATGTTCACATAAGGGTTGGTGAGAAAGTGGAAAATTGGCATTCTTATATATTGTTTATGGAAATGGATATTTAGGATATCCCTTTTAGAGAATAGTTTGATAGATGATGAAATACACATACCCTTTAGCTACAAATCAGAGACATCAAAATACGGATACAGAATTACTGACATTCCACACATAATTTAAAATAACTGGAAATTAAATCTGCACCAAGAAAGGGGAGGCTGAGAAGTGCTACATGGGAATGAAGAACGACATCCATCTCCATAAAGTAGACATGGAGGGGTCCATCACAGTGGGTGATGAAAGCAGGTTTCAGAGTAAGAGCAGAATGGCCTCCTTTCTGTCAGCTCCCCAATGTACTGACGTGTTTACATAGAGATGCACAGATATAAACAAAACTTAAACCTGGTTCAGAAGGGGTTTCACATTTCATTCTATCAATTACCATCTGAATGCTTGTAGTGAACGTATGTTTCTTAAATAAACCACGGGATACAAATTTTGGAATTAAAAATACAAGAATAAGTTGTCTCTGCAGAAGGTGTGTTGGCAATTAAGAGTTCTGGGTACCAGGGATGCAGAGTCCCAACTCCTATCAATTGTTGATATCGGACGAGCCCCATTAGGATGTCGACAAAAGGTCCTGGAAGGATCCCCAAACAGTTAACTCACATGTCATACAGCAACCTCCCCGCAGTGGCAGTCCTCTCTGCATTCCGTTCGATGGTGTACATCTCATACTGAAACAAGGCAGACAGAGTCACCACCTTCCACCGTGGCAGCGGATCCAGCTCCAGCCCACCTGCAGCACCGCTCAGAGTCGGGCTTTCACTCAAAATACCCCCAAGTCCCCCAGCTCAGGACTGGGACTCTGGGCTCCCTCCATCCGCTGGGCTTCTGGGATCAGCTGGGATAACGCTTCAGAGCAGCAGGCACTGAACGGATGGCTACCACCATGATCAATGAATGAGTAGTGGCCTGGGCCCTAATCTCGTGTGTGGTCTCCGCCTTTGCAGGCGCTAGGGAGAAGGGGGGTCAACCGTGCAATGTGGAGCAGTGTAGGAGCGACGTGGGGACGGAGGAGCGGCCGTGCACTGCGCCCCGGGCTACCCTGCTCACCTTCCGCGCGCGGGGACGCGTCGGGTCTGACTCACCTGGATGTTGAAGTCGGCCGGGTAGAGGCTGCGGGCCGTGATCAGCCACGCCTTGGCTGCCCACAGGTCCTGGGGCACGAGCTCCCGGGCTCGCTGCACCAGGAACTCACAGTCGCCCTGGGCCGACATGCCCCTCGGTCACTCGCCCTTCCGGCAGGGGGACTCCCAAAGCCGCCAACACCCGCCCCCCGCGGGCGACTACTGCGCATGCCGGAGGCCAGCCAACCACAGGGCGCAGCGGCTCCGCGGAGTCCGCTGGAAACTGCGGAGAAGTGGATTTCAATCCCTTGGATTGCTATCCCATGCACCGGATCCCGGCAACTCTTTGCTCCAGGTTCTTGCGTTCTCCTTGGACCCTAAATGTGATTCTACGGGTGCCGGATCGTGCAGGCACCCGGCTGTGGTCCCTGAGCTGGGCGCTCCGGGCTGGGGTGCAATTGGAGAAGAGAAAGCGCTGCGGAGTGCTGGACTGTATGGTGCCGGAATGTCCTCACCCCTGCACACGTGAAGACCCAGGCTTGCCTATTGATTTTGAGCTTTGCTAAAGGCTTGTCTAGCTGCTCCCGCCTCTGTTCTGTGTTTGTTTCTCCCACATCTATTACTTTTCTACAATACTGAGCAATTAGCATTTAGAAAATACTCAGCTATGTGTCCGAATCGCCCAGCCAGTGTTAAAATCATTGGTTATTTGGCCAACGGAAAAACAGCTGCACTATAAATCGGTGACACTTTAACGAAACTCCCGCTTTGTTTTGCATTGGGGCCAAAGAAAAAATTGTCTCCGTTTGGTTAACAAGGTAATAATTATTTGCTGAATTGGAAGAGTGCCCCGAAAGTGACTTTTCAGTGTTAGTTTTCAATCTAAGTGCCATAGTATGTAATTTTTCTTTCTTTCTTTCTTTCTTTCTTTCTTTCTTTCTTTCTTTCTTTCTTTCTTTCTTTCTTTCTTTCTTTCTTTCTTTCTTTCTCTCTCTCTTTCTTCTTTCTCTTTCTTTTTCTATCTATATTAACTATCAACTCTTGTCATCAATTGCCACTTAAAACGAGGAGATAAAAGATTCAAAGCTGACTAATTAGTTTCTTTTCTCTGTTTTTCTCTGAGACACATTCCTTCATAGCCCAAACTGGTTTTAAACTTGGTAAGTATGTGAGGATGATTTTGAACTCCTGATCCTCTGCTTACATCTCCCAAGTGATGGATGCGTGCCTGTCCTGACTTAATTTTTTTAAACAAAGAAATTGGCATGTACTTAATAAGTGGAAAATACAGATATTTAAAGTAAATATGAATATATACATTACAAGAGTGAACTGCAGTTCTTGGATGAAGCTTTGTTTACTTTAAAGATTCTGCAAACAACATAACTTTGAATGATTAGAATATTACTGTGAAGAGATGGAACAAAGGCTGAGAACCAAAATTATTTGGGGCCTTTAATAGACATCTGCCTCAGCACTGATATCTGTCTTAACATTCTTCTAGAAGATAATCTTTTTAGATGGGATCATTAAGCTTCAAAAAGACTCAAGGCTCCACTAATCTTAAAGCTAAGAATTATATAACATCTGGATTACAAGAGGTTTCCTAGCCTTAGTGTAGCCCAGGTACCTGATGCCTTCCCAATGTAGCTAGCAAATGCATTGTGCTATGACTCCTTTTTCTTCTGTGATTCTAGAAGCTCAATTGCCTCCTCTACAGTGAACATATCATTCAAGGCAAGGTGAATCCTTGCTCCTGGCCAAAGATGCCTCATTCATATTAAGCTTTGAATAAACTTTCTTTTAAGTTCCTTTATTGTTTTATGTCAATACTATTTATAGAATTATGAAAAGATACAGGCTTGCTAATGAATAATTTATAAACAAGTAGTCAAAGTTTATGGTGAATTAGTGTGCTAATTAAAAAAGTGCAGAACAAAGAGACTATTTTTCCCTCCTTTGGCTCAAATGCAAAACAAAGCCAGAATTTCAGTAAAGTAGAACTGACTTATACTCCAGCTATATTTCCATTGGTCAAATGATCAAAGATTTTAATAAAGCAATAGAACACTGTCTAAGACAGAAGTTGGTACGAGGAGTAGGATAGTGCTGTGACAGACCTGACCATGCTGCTTATTGGTGGAATATGGACTTGGGGACTTAGGACTAGAAAAGCAGTTGGACACTTTAAGCAGGGCTCAATGGGCCATGTAGAATCATGGAAGACAGTAGTGCAGAGAGCGATGTAGATTATGGCAGCCTGGCTCAAGAGGTTTCAGAGAAGAATATTAGTAAGTGGCCTAGAGACTGTTGTTGGTGAAGAATGTGGCTACTTTCTGCCCTTGTCTGAAAAATCTGTCTGAGGCTAAATTGAATAATTTTGGATTGATGGCATTGACAGAGGAGAGTTCAAGACAGCTTATTATTGTGTGGTTATTAGAGATCTTATGCAGATCTATAGTGAAAAAGACCGAGCTGAGCAAGGAAAAATACAACATGTACAGTTTGAGGAGAAAAAGAGCATTGGAAAGTATAATGGAGCTAAGTCCAGTGCTCAAAGAGATAAAAAGTTTAAAGAAAAGTCTGATGCTAAATGGAGTAAAGGGAGTGGTGACCTCATAGTGTGATTCCCTTGCAGGCTTTATAGCACACAGGAGAAAGAAATGATCCACGAAGAGACAAGAATGAAACTCAGCTCAGCCCAATTTTATTGTAGCCAGTGCTGGACCAGAACTTCTAAGACTGGCCCAGATCATTTTACTTTAGTCATATTTAAGCACAGCATGATTTTGAAAAAAAGTATTCAGATAACAATTAACTCAGTCCCAAGTCCACAACAATTTAAGGTATGTTTACATTGAGATTCCTTACAAAGTACATCTGGCTTCTTTCACAAGAATGGGTACTGTTAACCCAGAGATAGTGCCCAAGATTTAGGGTCTAGGGAGTTTGACTGAGGTAAACATAATGGGTGTTAGGATTGGTCTGGCCCTAAGATAACTTAATAGAAGTCACTTAGGCTGTTATAAAGTACAAGTGATCTTACTCATTAGACTGGGTTTATGATCTAAAAGCAATGCTCAAGATTTAGGGAAAAGGGTACTGGATAAGTAAAAGAATAAATTCTGGGAGATAAGGTAGAGCCTGTCTGATCAGACAGCACAGGATCACCAGGTTGTAAAATGACATCCTTCCTAGCATAACAGAAGAGCAACTTTGCACCTCATTCTTTTGAAGAAGTGAGCTGTGTGTTTAACTTTCCTGGCTTCTCCAGTGCTTATCTGTGTGCATAAGGCTTTTTGCTCTCTAGATCAGGACAAGACTCCACCCAGCCAAGCTTCCAACTTGTGAAATGGAATTTTAAAGAAGCATAAGCAGTGAAGGAAACCATCAAAACTAGGAAGCTATTGAAATGTATTTGAACAGGGGAACCAACAAGCAGAAGACCTTGGCAGCTTTGGACATGTGGTTCTGGCTTTAGAGTCAAGTATACAAGAAAGGGTCTGTAGAATCTCTCTCTGAAGCTAAGGAAAGCTGCTGAGGCCAGACATATATTAGGGGTGTCCCTGAATGGAGGCCCAGAGAGACCATTGTGTGGGGTGGTTTAAGTGAAGCCTGGATTTCATTGGAGACCAAGATGTTAGAGATTCCAGAGTTCTGGGATACCTGCCAAGGAGAGCTGCTAATGGTGTGGAAACAGACCAAGAGAGGGGGAGGTGTGTTGCCGTCAACAAAGCTGAAAGGAGCTGGAGATCTGAAGACTTCTTTGCCATCAGACATGGAGATGCAGAATTTGTTTGACCTGATGATTTTCAGTCCTGCTTTAGTCCAGTGTTTCCTCAGAATGCTCTCTTCCCTCCCTTTTGGAATGGTAAAGTATGTTCGGTGCCATTGTATGTTGGAAGTATGTGGTCTGCTTTTTGATTTTGATCTCACAGCGATAATAGTTAAGAGGCTGCCTTAAGTTTCAGAAGAGAGTTTGAATTTTGGACTTTCAAACAGTGTTGAGATTGTGATAGACTATGGTGACTTTCGAAGTTGGAGTAAAAGCATTTTGAATTAAGATATGGCTACAAGCCTATGAGGACCAGGGAGTGGAATGTGGGGGTTTGAAAGAGAATGGCCCCCACACGCTCATAGACTTGAATCTTTGGTCACCAAGGAGTGGCACTATTTGAAAGGATTAGGAGGTGTGGCCTTGTTGGAGAAAATGTGTCAGTGGGAGGTAGACTTTGAGGTTTCAAAAAGCCCATTCCAAGGCCAGAGTCTCTGTTCCTGCTGCCTGTGGATCAGATGTAGAACTCTCAGATACTACGACTCTACCACCATGCCTGTCACCATGCTCCTTGTCATGAGGTCAATAAACTAAACCCCTGAAACTGTAAACCAGTCCCAATTAAATATTTTCTGCTGTGGATACCACTCTATATAAATAAAACACTGATGGCCAGTGACCAGGCAGGAAGTATAGGTGGGACAAAGAGAGAGGAGAATTGGGGAAACAGGAAGAAGGAGGGGAGACACTGCAGCCACCGCCAAGACAAGCAGCATGTGAAGATGCTGATAAGCCACCAGCCATGTGGCAAGGTATAGATTTATAGAAATGGGTTAATTTAAGATAAAAGAACAGTTAACAAGAAGCCTGCCATGGCCATACAGTTTATAAGTGATATAAGCGTCTGAGTGATTATTTTATACATGGATTGTGGGACTGCGGGGCTTGGGGAACCTGGAGAGAAGCTCTCCAGCAACAAATGGCGCCCAACGGCTCGAGTTTCCACCTTAAACCTGAGAATATTTAATAACCAATTCTAAACAGAGCCAAAACCAGGTTCCTGCTTCTTGTCTCATATGAGCAGCTAGACGCCACAAAACGCAGGTTTGAACACTGGCGGGTTCCTGTTGAGTGCGTTTGACCGGCAGTATGGTGGGAATGAGGCGTCTGCCAGCAGCACAGTACGCTATGTGGTAGATTTAGTCTTTACTAGTATTAAAAAAAAAAAAAAAAGAGGTTTCTGGGCTACACACTGCTTTGATAAAAGCAAAGACCCATTATTTCTGAGACTTGATGACTCCCAGAGCTGGCGGAAAACGTACCACCGCCATGTTGGGAAGCTGAAGTGGTCGGAGCAAGCAGGCACAGCGCCGTTTCAGTCTTAGAATGGTGCAGTTTAAAGCAACAGATTCACAATACGTAGGCTTGAAAGAGACCAAAAAAAAAAA